GAAATATGCAGGTGGGGTGAGAGCTCCTGGGGACCTACAGGCCTTGCAAAGGATTTGGGGCTTTATTCTGGATATAATTGGAAGGCCCTGAAGATTTAAGCAATGGAATGCTGTGATCTGATTTTATGCATTAGAAAGGTCACTCTGTGAAGGGTGGATTATCATTAGGGTCAAGGGTAGAGGCAGAAAAACAAATTAAAGGGCCAGTGGGCTAATCCCTGTGTGAAATGATGAGGGAAGGTTGAACTGAGGGTGCAGCAGTAGAAATGGAGAAAGTGGTCAGATTTAGGATATATTTCGAAGGCATAAAAACCAGACCTACTGGTACATTGGGATGTGTTGTAGCAAGATATCGCAGTTGAACTGAGGGATTTGGACCTAAGTAACTAGGGGGTAATGATGAAGTCAGGAATTGAAACAGGTAGTTTTAACTGGGAACAACTCTACTATTTTATTTTTGTTATTTTTAGGACATACTAAAAAGGGTATCTTGCATTTTATAGTTTGGGAAATTGGAATTTTTTTTTTGGTTATCTTTTTGCTTTTCAACATTATATCACGAAGATTAATTCATATTTTTGCCTTATCTATATTTCACTATTTTATTACTGCATAATATATTCCATTGTATGATCCACAAAATTTATTTATACTTTCTCAAGAGGTGTGGCCAAGAAGAATAATGGCTTCTCTAAAGATACCATGTCATTGTGCCCAGGGCCTGGAAATATGTTATAATGCAGTATAAAGAGGAAATAAAATTGCATGTGCAATTAAAACTGGTAATCAGCTGACCCGGGGATGAGGCGATAATTCTGAATTATCCAGGTGGGCCCAATGTGATCATCAGGGTCCTGAAACAAGGAAGAGGGAAGCAAAAGAATCTGTGTCAGAGTGAGGCAGCAGAAAAAGGCTGAGTCAGCCGTTGCTGGTTTTAAGATAAAACTGGGCCAAAAGCCAAGGAGTGTGGGTGGCCTTTGGAAACTGGAAAAGGCAAGAAAACAGATTCTTCTCTATAGCACCCAGATACAGCTCTGGTATTAGGCCAGTGAGCGCCTCTTTAGGCTTCTGACTTCTAGGCTATGGGATGATAGATGTGTGCTGTTTTAAACCACTGAGTTTGTGGTAATTTTTTATAGCCGCAAGAAGGAATTTATACAAGGGGCATTTTATGTTTCCATTTCTTAAATGATTCTAAGCATCACTGCAATCAATGTTCTCATATATGTTTACATGTGTAAGAGGTAATAGTTGCTCTTGGGGTACACCTAGGTTGGAATAGCTGAGTCCTTGTCTATGGGAAAACTGAATTTTATAAGATAATGCAACCAAATTGTTTTCCAAAATGGTTGAACCAATCTACCTTCTCAGCAGCATTGTGGGGGCTCCCTGATTGATTTAGATCTTCTCCAACACTTGGTAATGTCTGAGGCATACATTTTTTTAACAATTAAATATTGTATCTAGGTGCAACAAAAAAATCATATGGCTCGAAAAGCCTAAAATGCTGGTTGTTGATGGCATTTTCATATGCTTACTGGATGGGTACCTTCCTGTCCTGTGAAATGCAGGTTCATGATTTTTACATATTTTTCTATTTGCTGTTCTCTCGGGAATTAATAGAAAAGTTTATATAGTCTTGATCTATATGATCCTTTGGCTGGTGGATGTGTTGAGAACATCCAGTGTGTATCTCATCTTTTTCCTTTTTTTTTAAAGCAAGGGTCTGCAACTGAAAAAATGAATATAAATAAATAGATAAAAGCAAAACCAGTAGACAGAGGAAAGAGAATGTGAGGAAGGAAGAAGGGAAGGAAAGAAGAGGCAATGGGGACTGAAATAGAACAATTATATTCCATAAATATATGAAAATGTCAAAATGAACCCCCACTATTATGTTTAACTATATGCAATTTAAAAATAAATAAATAAAATAAGCAGAGGCCTGCAACCTATAACTAGCTGACCAAATCTGGCCTTTACACGAAGCCTGGTTTTCACATGCTTAAATGGTTGTAAAAATAAAGGTACTACAACAAAGATATGTGAAAGAGATTGTGTGGCCAGAAAAGCTCTGAATATTTGGCATTTTTGTTTTAGTCAGATTTTTCACTGCTGTGACTAAAAGACCCAACCCGAACAATTGTAGAGGAGGAAGAGTTTACTGGGGGGCTCATGGTTTCAGTGGTCTCAGTCCATAGACAGCCGGCTCCATTCCTTGGGGCTCAAGGTGAGGCTGAACATCATGGTGGAAGAGTGAGGTGGAGGGAAGCAGAGAAAGACTCTGCTCGCCAGATACAAAATATATACCCCAAAGTCATGCCCTAATGCCCACCTCCTCCAGCCACACCCTACCCACCTTCAGGTACCACTCAGTTAATCCTATAGGGGATCAATTCAGTGACTGAGTTAACACTCTCACAACCCAATCATTTCTCCTCTAAACTTTCTTGCATTGTTTCTCACATGAGCTTTTGGGGGACACCTCACATCCAAACCATAACAGTACTCTTTTCCTGCTTTAAAGCCTCTATTAATGAACATAACTTCTTAATTTGGTTAAACTCTCAATCTTTCAGAGTCTTATTTAAGAAATCCTTCTTAAGGAACAGAGAGATATCAACCTATATTTTCTAACAAAAGCTTTAATGATTTCCTTTTGTCATTTAGGTTTTTTCACTAGTTTCAGTTGTGTGTGTGTGTGTGTGTGTGTGTGTGTGTGTAGTGTGAGGAAGAGATCCAATTTCATGTCCCACCTCACCACTGCATAATCATTCATTTCTTCGCCATTGGTTTGGTTTGCTGAGGGTCTTCTGTCCACTTTTGTCATAGATGGGCTTTCCATATTGGACTCATTTCATACTCTGAGTTCTATCAGAGAATTCTTCTAGCTCTGTTTCAATATTAAACTTTCTTCCTTACTTCAGTTTTATAATATGTTTGGATGTCTGGTAGGATGAGTCTCCTACACTTCGTCTTCCCATTTGAAAGTGTCTTGAATATTCTTGGCCATATCTCCCTGGGTCAATTTTTTAACTCAGTCTGTCAAGAACCTTGAAAATGTTGTTTGGGATTTTGATTTCAGTTGCATCCAATCTATAGTCTGAAAGTCTATCTAGAGAACAAATATCTATATGAAAGTAAACATGCTTATCTCTGAAAACTGAAAGCCTCTCCCTAACATAGATCTTCTTTAGTGATTGATTGATTGATTAGTGATTAATTGGGCTTATCTTCTCAAGCTGATCCTGAGAGGTCTTTAGGGTGGGAAATCCACCTAGTCAATTATTCCCTTCCTTCCCATTCATCCCAGGGATTTTATGCCATTGTAAGTGGCTCACACCTCTCACTCTTGCCTTCTCACTTCTTATCAGTGCATACTTGATGAGTACCTGCTGTCTGTAAGACAATGTGAAGTGGGTGACACCCAAAAGCACAGTGTAGAGTCCCTGTCTTTAAGAGACTTTAGACCTAGCAATGGAAAAAAAGACGTGTGAAAAAATTACTAGCGATTCAAGGCGTTGAGTACAAATTTTCTGAAAATTTTCTAAAAAAAATTTTTTTAAAATAGCACATCAACTTAAAAACCATTCAGCTTTAGTAAGGGACAAAAAGATCATCATCCAAATGTACTTCCTCAGTAATTCCCTGGGAATCACTGTTGTTAAAGCAACTTACCAGGACTGCCATTTCCAGCAGTGATTTCACTCATTCTGAAAAAGATTCTGTGTGATGAAGCTCATATAAGATACTGGGAAGATTTATTGAAAATTGATTTCCATCTAAAATGCCTGGGTTGAGTTTACATTTTGCCCCTCAGCTATTAAAATAAAAATCAGCGCCCAGAAATAGCTAATTGTCAAAGAGTTCCAAGTACCTAGAATTTGACCATACTTTAAAGTTGAGGAGGGAAGGCCACAGAAGCTTCCTTTGGTGATGACCAGAAGGGAGCTTCCTCTACGATAAGTAACCCAGAAAGAGTTCAGCCTGTAACCTCTGTCCTGAAACCTGGTGGGCTGTGGTTTCAAGGCCTGCTTCCCCTTTTCTTCTTAAAATTAATGTTTTCACTGGTGCTTTTTTATTTTAAGACAAAGTGGCAGCATGATTCATACGGTTACTTCCTCCTCCTCCAAGGTCTTGGAAAAGGTCTTCCAGTTGAGAAAAAAAATGATTTGGTGGAAGATCAGGATTATTGTATTGACTTGCAAAAATCACCCTTCTCCTTTTCATTCTGTGTGATCATTCCAAACCGGAAGGCTTGGGTGGGATTTATGCAAGCACTTAAGTTCTCCTTGGAATGTACCCTCAGTAACCTTCACTCTTACTGACCTCAAGCACAGGGCTCCATCATCCCGGGTACCTTTATCATGGCAACTTAAATGAAGATGTGGATATGCTAGCAGTCATATAATATCTCTCTTTTCTCATTGCTGAAAGTGAAAAGTTAATTGTAAGTTAGACAACAAAAGAGAGAATGGTATATCAGTAAGGAATGCTGGAATGTCATTCTTGGATTAAGGGGAAGCTGCTTAAACTCAGCAAGCTACACTTTCCTCATCTATAAAATGGGGATAAAGTATTTTATATATAAATATATATATTTCCCATCTCTTCTCTGTCTTGTTTTGAGAATGGCATTTATATGGTTACTTAATTATAAGCTTTACTTGAATTGCCTGTTTTAAAAAGTACAGATCATCCAGATTCTTATAATTTCCAGAAAACTGGAAATTCTTATCATCAGATAAATTGGAGAAATATGAAGTAACAGATAAAATCTTTCTCCCCCCCACCAGAGCTTCACTTGTATTAGGAAACACTGTACTCATGAGCTATGTAAATCGCCCTAAGAAATGTGAGCTCATGGAAGGATGCATTTTACAGGCTGGATAAGTTTACAGAGACAGAAGATGCCCACTTTTCTGACAGTTTCTTAGAAGTATACAAAAAAAAGTCCTTTTAAAATCATTTTACACATTTGCCTCTGTCTTTCTTCTTAGGTTGGAGACGGTCCTACAGCTCCTGGGCTCTGGTCTCCATCCCGCTGCTGACTGGTTGGGTAATTTGGAAGACCACTTTCACCTCTCCAGGCTTCCTTTTCTATGTGCAAAGTGACCAGAAGGCTTCCGCTTCTGGTGTCCCATTGTCCTGGGATAATCCTCTGTTCAGTTCTCATTCTCTGCATGATGAGCACATCATCCTTAGAAGGAGTCAGTCCACGGCCAGGTAAGGTGAGGGCGTACCTGCCTAAGCTCTGCACGGCGTCCTAGTGGGGAAATAAAGTCACTGAGAACCCGCCACAGGGTAGCTGGGAGGACAGAGGTCCACGGATAACTCCATGTGAACTCACAAGAGGACCCTCAACAATAAAAATGGGAGAGACACATGGTGGCATGGTGGGCAAGGGAGGTCACTAAGCTTCACGAGGGCTTCCTCTAATATTATCAATGACGAGAGTTTTATTATTTTTAAATAAAAGAGCAAAGCAAGTATTTTTTAAGTCTAAGGGTGTTTATATATTCCACATAACATGTATGTTTATATGTATTATATATAAACTATATTTTATAACTATATTATTTTTATAGAGTTGATATGTAAGTATAAGCTCATATTTTTATAGATATATTTAAATCCAATGATAAGCAATTAGAAAATTTTCCTCCCCTGTTAACATCCCAACCATTCCTCCCTCAAAAGCCAACTTAGTGAATTCTGTGTCATTTTCCAGAAATTTTCTCCTGTAAGCACAGAAATACACACATGCATACACAGATAGCCCTGCACCCTCTTCCTTCTCTCTTAACATATCTTGTACCTGAATCTATTTCACCCATATAGATTGACACACATATTTCACACCCATGGAGTCTTCCGTACGGTCACATAATCATTTGCTGTACCATTTCTCATATGGCTGGACTTGTGGAGAGCTTTCAGTCATTTTGCTATTAACCAATCACTAAGCAATACCTCAGTGAATATCTTTGCACCTCTCTCTTTGTACACATCGCACAGGTGTAGCTATAGGATATATTCCTGTAAGTGGAATGACCAAAATGAAAGTCCAGTTAGCATTTTGAAAGATATTGCCAAATTGTTCTCCCTTTAAATCATAGCAAGTGATAGCGTTCTCTCTCCCTGTATTCATGAAAACTCTGTTTAATAACAACCTCGATGCTCTTTGACCTAATAATAAAAAACAGAGCCTTGTTGTTTTCATTTATAATAAGGCTGATTTCTAGAACATTCTCAGATTTTTTTGTCCTGTTTGTTTTCTACATTCTTGTCCATGCCTATTGCTTCTTTTTCTATTCGATAAGATTGGGATGAGTTTTATAGAAAGAGTAGGATTGCTGAAGAATCTTGTCGTGCTAAACAATGTGGACTTATTCAAGCTTGTGAAAGACTTGCTTCTGGAATTTTCTCAAGGACTATAATTTAGTTCTTAACCAGGGGGCAATTTTGTCCCTGAGGACTTGATAACTTCTGGAGACCTTTCCGTCAGTGGAGGGAGGTAGTTTTACTGGCATCTGGAGGATGTTGACCAGGGATGCTACTAAATTCCATACAATGCAAGCCCTCTGCACAGAACAATTATCCAGCCTCAAATGTCAATAACATAAGAATGTATTATCCCTCCACTAGAAGGACGGAAAACCTAAGAGACTATAATTGAGGAAAAACTTGAGGCCAGTGTAGGCACCATGGGCTCTGGCCTTGTCCTAATGTAAATCCCACTGGCCTCTCCTCTCCAGCATCTGCAGCACAAGAGCTGAGCAGAGCCAGCAGAGCCCAGAGGGTCCTGGGCTGGTTCCCATCCCCACTCTTAGCAGTGCATTGTTATTAGTGGTCTGCATACTTTTTACTTTAGTTACATTAAAATAAATACACAGAAAAACCTCAATCATGCTCCTCCAGAACATGTTTTGAGCAATCCAGGCTGCAAAACCTTCTTCAGCATTGAAACCTTCTTCTGAGTGTCATAAGCAATAAAATGCAGGGTGGTGGGAGCAGGAGAGAAACCACAGTGGGCTGATTTTATAATGGACATAATCCCAGGGAATACAGGAGGCTTTTCAGATCTTGGGAAAAATGAGTAGCATTTCCTTCCACAGAACCACATCCCTGAAAGTATTTGATCCTCCCACTTCTCAAGGCAGCCTCTGGGCCTGGGCCTCCAATATGACACTTAGCATCACACCTGCAAATAGTAGTAGGTGCTCAATAAATAAAGGTGAGTGACCCCAGTCAGGGGAAAGTGAGCATATAGGTATTTTATTTGAAGCAATTTAATGATAAGGAGTGAATACAACATCAATCGGCATTTACTCTGTGCTGATGTGCTGAGTGGACTCTCTCATTGACTCTTCCCAGTGGCAGGTGACGAGGTGTCACCATTACACATAAGGAAATAAGGCCTTGAGGGAAGTGGCTGAGGGAAGTGGCTTGCTCACAGGCATACAGCTCCTGAGGGGCGGTCTGTCACCAGAGTCCTTCCTTTTAAACACTGTATTGTATCAATGCTTCTATGAGATCACTAATGTTACACAATTCCCACCATTCATCTTATTTGATCATCACAAGAGATAAATACATAGATCTCATTGTAATGTAAATGCATTGCAACCATGGAAATACACACACACACATTTTTAATGGATATATAGTTATTTATTTTAATTGATACATAGTAACTGCACATAATCATAATGGTGGCGTGCATGCATACATGTGTCATCATATCAGTCATTGACAGATCTATCACCTCAGACATTTATCCCTTCTTTGTGTTGCAAACGTTCAAAAGCCTCCCTACTATGTAGCCCTGGAAGTTGAGACTCAGAGAGTGAGACTTTGCATGGGCTTTCTCTTGTCCAGTGAGGAAGTCCACAGAACAGGGTAGAGCACAGCGTGGCTGCAGAGTCGCTAATCCTCCAGAGACCAAGCAGGAAGCAGTCTGATTTTACTGCGCAGCTACCATGTATATATACTCAGGCAGTAGCTGAGCAGACTACAGGCAGCCACCAGTGCAATTTCTGCTAACTGTTCTTGTGGCGATCAATCAAGGAGTAGGCTGTGGAGCAAGCTCAGGACTGTAACTCATGGCCTCACGCCCAGGGCTGTGCCCACGGGGTAAGCGGCCTGCTGCTCACATGCCTAGCCCAGGGGAGTGGCCTGCCACTCAGACGCCCTTATTGTATGCCACGTATGCAGTACTCCGTGCACCTGTCCCCACAGGACCTGCTTGACGTCCTATGTGTGCTGAGCCACAGTGCTATGGCTTGAGCTCTCGTTCCCCATACGATGTCACGATTCGTGTCCATTACCCATCCTTTGCCTCTCACCTCTAGTCCGCCCCCTGTGGTTCTATAAATGGAGCCACACACGCCTTTCTCCTTTGCCCCTCCGTGCACTGTTAACCATTGTTAGGGGAAGAGGTTGGAGGGACCCTTCTGCAGGGGATTTCTCTTCAGGTTCTGGGGCGCTTCCTCCTCCAGGTTCTTGCAGTCCACAGTCTATCCAACATTTGGCCCCAGAAGGGAGCAGCCACTTCAGCGCCCAGCTGCCACCCGGGGATAGCAGCCACTTCAACACCCAGCTGTCCAGGGGTCAGTGGCCTTCCTCGGTGCCTCCTCAGCAAACCTCAGTGCATTCTGAGGCTGCTGCCTCTGTGTGAAGAGCCCTTCCTGGCACCACAGAGGGCAGATTTCCAGCAACTTCTGCCAGCCTGTTACCTCTGCAACTTTGTGATCATGCAGTGAGCCACAGCTGGGCCCCATGGAAAACACAAGATCTCAGCCTTAGGGGCAGTGACTGCTTTTTTTTTTTTTTAACCTGCGAACCCTGCATTCTTTAGGATTCTCTTTCCTCCTGATTAACTGATTCCCCATTACTTCACTGGCTTGTTACAGGAAATATTCATGTGGAGACATCTGTGTGATTGGTCCCCAAATCCCACATACTGCTTTCCTTTGAGCTTCTTGCAGGGATTAAGACCTGCCAATTACCTGGCATCCCTTAAGCATGAGTGAGAGATTCAGGAAGCCAGGAGCTGAGGAGCATTTGCTCTTACATTATTTTCTTGATCTCTCATCTAGGTTTCATGGATATAGGAGAAAAGAATCAATCATAGTGCACTTTTTGTAAGTGTGCTAATAAGCTTTATGGTACTGTAACAGATACCCGAGGTAATCAGCTTATCCAGAGAAAAGGTTTATTTTGGCTCACAGTCTTAGAAGTTTCTATCTATGATTGGTTGACTTTGTTAGGGGCCTGTGGCAAGGCAACCTATCAGAGCAGCAGAGGAAAACCATTCACCCTATGACAAGGACACAGAAGGGAGGAAGAGGAAAGGGCTGGAGTCTGAATGTTCCCTTGCAGGATATGCCCTTGATGACCAAAAGACCTCCTGCTAGGCTCCATCTCTGGAAGTTTCTACCATCTCCCAGTAATGCTACAGGATGTCGACCAAGTCTTTAACATGTGGTCCTGATTGGGACACTTACCTAAACCACAGCATTAAGAGCAACCTGTGAAATAGGCCAAGATCGTTTCATGATGTAAAAACACTTCAAAGTCTTAAATGTTTTAATTTTCAACTATATACCTAAGTAAAATCACCAGCACCCAATTCTCCATCCCAACAGATTGGTAGGTCCCTGTTTTTGTTTGTCTGTTTTTATTTTCTTTTAATCTCAGCATGTTCTTCTCCCAGGCATGGGGACTTGGATCATTAGTTCTCAGGATAATGATACTTCCAAATGTGCACACAGCAGCTTCACATATGTTAGGTCATTCAACTATCAAAGCAGCTCCTGGGACATCCAGAGCAAGTGTCACAGTTCTTTATCTAGTAAGCATAGCCCCTCACTGAGAGTTAAATTGCTCCAAGGGCAAGTGGTAAACAGTAAAACCAGGAGCAAAGACTAAAATCCAAGTCTAAGATCATCGTTCATTTTCCATTGTCTCCCCACGTCTCTCTGTTTCCTGGACAAAAGATTTTTTTCTCCGCTAAAGAATTTCAAAGATCAGCAAATGGAAAGTGTGGGGGATTATGTGGGGAGGGGGGCCTGTAGAGCTCTCTTGGCATCCCTCTGTCATTGTTGAGCAGTAGGCAACTCATGTACTGGACGAGCTCCACCCCCGGCCACATAGAGAGAAGCAAGAACTGGGAGGAAGCCAGAGCTGAGCGTGGGAGGGGTGGGGGAAATACAGTTGCACAATCTGACAGGGACTTGTAAGGTCAATCTTTCCCCAGCAGGAAGCCAAGTCTGCACAGATGTCAGGGTTGGGAGGGCTTGTGGGAGAGGTTGCCTGTCATCTGAAGGTGCGCGCTGGCTGCCCTTGCATGGTAGGTTAGGACTTGCATGCTAGCAGAGAACCAAGCCCATAATATCTCTCTGTAGACAGGGTGATGGTG